GGAGGAGTGGGTTCAATTCATTTTGGAAATAAATTTTGTTGACCAAAAGAATCTGTGAACCATCCAAGCAATACTGTTCATCCAGAAGGCAACTGGATGCATAGCTCTGAAGTTCAGGAAAAAGAGCCTGGGTTGAAGCTATAGGCATTGTTCTAAGTCGCTAAGTCGAGTCCCACTCTTTGTGACCCCATGGACTGCAGCATGCCAGGCTTCCCTGATAACAGCGGCCATTAAAATCTTGGGAGCAGATAAAGCGGCCCAGGCAGAGTGAGTAAAAAGCTAGACCTAACACACAGTCTCTTGATGAGGGCGAGAGAGAGTGAAAAAGCTGGCTTAAAGCTTAACATTCAGAAAACTAAGATTACGGCATCTGGTCCCATGACTTCCTGGCAAATAGAAGGAGGAAAAGTGGAAGGAGTAACAGATTTTTTTCTTGGGCTCCAAAATCACTGCAGAGGTTGACTGCAGCAATGAAATTAAAAGATGCTTGCTCCTTGCAAGGAAAGCTATGACAAACCTAGACAGCATATTAAAAAAGCATATTAAGAAGCCAACAGAGGTCCATATAGTTAAAGCTATGGTTTTTCCAGTAGTCATGGAAGGATGTGAGAGTTGGACCACAAAGAAGGCTGAGCACCAAAGAACTGACACTTTCAAATTGTGATTTGATTCTAAAAAGACTTAGAGTCCCTTGGACTGCAAGGAGATCAAACCAGTCAATCCTAAACGAAATCAACCTTGAATACCCATTGGAAGGACTGCTGCTGAAGTTCCAACACTGTGGCCATGTGATACAAAGAGCCAACACACTGCTAGGAAGACTGCTGCTAGGAAAGATTGAAGGCAAAAGGAGAAGGGGATGACAGGGTAAGATGGTTAGCATCACTGAGTCAATGGACATGAATCTGAGCAAACTCCAGGGGACAGTGGAGGACAGAGGAGCCTGGCATGCTGCAGTCCATGGGGTTGCAAAGAGTCAGACACAACTTAGTGACTGAACATGCAGCTGAAGGAACATTAGTGCTTGAACAATGGGACAGAAGATATACCTCAAAGGATCATGAAGAAGTTATTAACAGCAAAAACCTAAGAGGAACACTAGAAGAAGGCAGTGTCCCAAGCACTGTGGAAACAGTGTTTGAAGAGATAGGAAATGAGGTCACTGGACATGGTAGGTTAAAGGCTGTTACCACATATTTCTGTAATAGCATAGAAAAACCAAATTTAAAAAAAAAAGGAAATGGGTCAACAGGATAAAAAGGTGCTACTGAGAGATCAAGTAGGATGAGAGAAAAGTGTCCTGAGAAAGAAGTGAGCAGTATTATATATATCCAGTGCTTCTTAAATTTTAGTGTGCAAACAGACTACCTGGGGATCTTGAGTAAATGCAAGTGCATTTGGTCTGTGGAGAGAACTGAAATTCAGTACTTCTAACAGACACCCAGGTGATGCAGGTGTAGATAGCTCTTTAAAGTAAAAGACATTTGCTGGAAAGAGCAAGATAAGATGTTAGCCAGAGGGTGGCACGGTATTAGACTCGCACTGGCACATTGTCTAAAGCTCCTTCCAGAGTCAGACCTCTTGAGTTTAAATCCTGACTCTCAACAAATCTTTTCTGAATGAATAAATAAATGGGCCAACAAAAGGCAGTGTACCCAAGGGGTTGTTAAAATATAATCTTAAAAACTGAAAACATGACTCATAATAATAAAAATACATGTAAAAGATTTTATTCAACCCATTAATTAATGAGAATAAATAAAATTTAAAACTGGTTCAAAAGAGAATTCTAGGAAAGGAGGCTCATCAGCTAAAAGTCCAGATAAGAATGATATGAATTTGCATTCTAATATATAAATACAAAACCAGCCAATCTCTTAGAAGGCAATCTTATCAAATTACAAAATACCTAGAGCAACAATAAAAAGGACAGCAAATGAAGGTACACACCCCACCGGAAAACCAGGTAATCCCCAAGTTAGGTAGGCCTGCTTTACCTTTATCAAAAGGACACCTAGTAATAACTTTTGCCTATTTCCAAGTTTTGGATAATTTTTCTTAACAGGGTCAAAAGTAGAGACAAGAGTTGAATAACAGCTCTGCCACACTAGTTATGTGTCCTTGAGTAAGTAACAATATAAAATTCAGTTTTCTTATTTGTAAAATGAGGATGGTAACCACAAAAACTATTTTTTGAATTAAGGTAACATATGTAAAGCATTCAGTACAGTGCCAGAAATGTGCCATAGAAAGCACTTCATACATGTTAACATTCAACACCCTCCACCAACTCTTTCATCTTTTTCTCATTTCACATTATGTAACAGTCCAGCCTTTTTGCACCACTTTAGCAAATATATTTACACATGCGCGCACACACATTTCATTTAATTTTGTGTGTGGCCATCCTCCATGGATCGACCAGGGATCAAAACCGAGCCCCCCGTGGTGAAAGCTCAGAGTCTTAACCGTTGTATCACCATCAAAGTCGAATCTCCACCACAGCATTTAACTCCACTTGACATATTATTTGTCTATTTCTGTGTTTTCTACCAGAATATAAGCTCCAAGGGAGCATAACGGGACTGTCTGCTTTGTTCCTTGTTGTATCTCCTATACCCAGTAGATGCTCAACAGATAAACAGTATTGCTAGAATAAACATTAAGTGAAAGTCATGGCCATGATCTCCAACTGCCAAGAACACTGGCTTTCTTTTTTTATGTTTAAGTCACTCAACCTGTTTTACAGCTTCCAAAAAAATATCCAATCTTTAACATTCCCCCTTTCTAAAGTGGGTTCTATATTACTACAGAATTTGCAGAATTTGCTGCAAACTCAGTCACAGGCACCCTGGATATACAGGCATATTCTGATTGGCTCAGAGAAAATGCTTAAAAAATTTAAGTTAAATGCCAACATTTTTAAGGGGCAAATTAATCAACAATTTTGGATTTCTGGATTCTCCTGATCAGATTTTTCACAGACAATATTCTAGCAAGGCACAATCAGCAGGAGCAAAGACAAGAGTATCAAGACCCCTATCAGGTTCCTATGGCTCACCTGCATTACTTATATTCCTGCAGGTGTGAGCTGAGGACTTCTGATGTATTAGAAATTATTTCCTATTTCCCTTTCATTATGCTTGAATCCATTTATCTGTTGCCTAAATTATTGTGACAATCTAATCAATGTCCTGTCTCAACTTACCTTTTTTTTCGGCCTTGCCCTGTGTAGTGTGTGGGATCTTAGTTTCCCAACCAGGAATCAAATCCATGATCCATGCAGTGGATGCAGAGTCTTAACCATGGGACCACCAGGATAAGTCCTGGTTTATAGGTTATTCTACCTATAGTTCAAATTATTTAGCTTTGCATTTCAAGCCCTTCTCATTTGACCTGCCCTAGGAAATCTTTTCCAACTTCATATTCTATGATTCCCCTTCAACCCATCTTTCATGAACTATATTCATTCACTTCCTTTTCCAGCTCCAATCTTGTCACTCAAATTATTTCTCTTAACTTGAATTTCCTTCCTGGCTCTGTTTATCTACCCTTCAAGGCCCAGGCACTCCACAAACATTCTCCAAATACCATGCCCACACACAACCTCCCTGCCTACTCTGGACCTTCTGAATTTTCCATAATTTATCTGTTTCATTTTCTACACATTTTGTTACAACTTTTCAATCACCCACTTGGACAAGCATCTAACATTACTGAATACATGAATTTATTCTAGTTATAATAACATTTTTCAAATTGGAATTCTTTTGGTATTTGTCACTTATGTTTCGCTGGGACATGCATGGGGACAACACTGCCACCAAAGGAGTGAAAATTGGTTCTCTTGGAGCAGGAAGAGGGCAGAAAATCCTAGATATTACACAGAAGCTTTCTGGCTCTCTGAAGGGCCACAATATATAAGCAAATACACAGTTATATAAGTATTATTAAAATTTCCTGGTGGGGATTAGAGGGGGGAATGCTTTTTAAAGGCTCCCGGAAAGAGGAAGACAACAAGGAAAAAAATTGAGAAACAGTATCCAGGGATCATGCGATTTGTTTCCTGTGTACTTGTTTGCCCCCTAATACCCAGAGAAGTGTATGATGACAGCAGTAAAGCAGAGTGATCAAAAGTGCGGGCTCTGTCATCAAGACTGCCTGGATTTGCACCTAGGCTGGTATTTCTTAGCTGGTTAACTCTGAGCAAGTTAATCAACTCGTCCAGATCTCAGGTTCCTCATGCCTAAATTACCTTATGGCCTCCTCCTAGGGTTGCGGTAGTAAATGAGGTCATCCAGGAGACCACACAGTAAGAGCTTAATAAATGGTTATAAAATGTACATATAATACATTTTTACAACAGCCATGTACCCTAGGTGTGCACCACAAATGATTAAAACTGGTTGGCCTCAGTAACAAGGGTATAGATGACCGGGACCACCCTGCCAATCAGGCAAGAGTTGTACGCGGCTCTGCAAAAGCTTTTTACACCTAGATTCCCTCCAGGTAATCTGCGTTAAGGGGCTTCCCAGGTGGCGAAGCTGGTAAAGACTCCCCCTGCCAAGGCAGGAGACGCAAGAGACGCGAGTTCGATCCCAGGGTTGGGAAGATCTCTTGGCGTAGGGAGGAGCCCCTGGAGTAGAAAATGGCCTCCAGTATTCTTGCCTGGAAAATTCCATGGACAGAGGAGGAACTTGGCCGGCTACAGTCCATGGGATCGCAGAGTAGAACACGATCGAGGGGGCACACACATACATACACACACACACACACACACACACGCAATGTGCTTAAAACGGCGCTTTAAATGTCAGCTAACGCTAGCCCCACTACAAGCTCCTAGCAAAATCGGACCAGAGAGTAGAACAAAGGTGGCCAGTTACAGAAAATATCCTAAAACTGTTACATTTCAAGAGCACTTACAACCTGATTCACTTTACCAAAACGGTTCCATGCAAGAGCCCTCCACTCGAGATCGGCCAGGGGCCCAGTAATACCTGAGTCGCCCCCCGCGCTGGGCCCCTGAGGACCAGGCCCAGAAGGCTCGCTGGGCGGCGGCTGGCTTGGAACCAAGATGACGCCAGCGGAGGGTTCGTGAGGCTCGCGGTCCATGGAGTAGGACCCTGCACGCGGATTTAGAGTGTGTGCAAGCAAGGGAATGCTCAGGGAAGGGTGTGGGGCAGTCAGCTGCGACCGACACGGGGTGTCAATGCAGGATCTGCGCGAAGCCGGGATCGCCTCAGCGCCAAAAGTCGCAGTAAAGAACCCGCGGCAGCACGTTAGTAGCGCCTCCGCACTGCTAAGGCGCATGCGCACCTTTCTCGCGCCGCCGCTTCAGGAGGCGCACAGCCTCTCGTACTTCCTCTAGAAATCTCTACCCACAATCCACCGAGCTCCCTCTGCGCTTGAGCCCGCCGTAGTCCCGCCCCCAAATCCCGTGGGCCTCTGCGAGATGGTATTTATGTGTCTCGCGGTGGGCCTTCGGTCTCATTTACCCACCGCTCTCGGTAAGTGTGTCGTTTTATTGAGTTTTACTAGGAAAGCCGGCCGAGCAAACGTGCCCGCGCCTTGGCCTCTCTTTGTGGTATCTATTGGGTTCGTGGGGGAGGGGAGAAAACGTGGCCTTAATATTGAGGCCTTGAAGGAACCAGGGGCTTTGTGAAGGACAAGATGGCGATGGCGGCCCGTGCCGAGTGGCCTCTCTGTGATGAGACCCTTTTCACAGACCTGTACTGAGCTCCGTGCGGATAAGAAACTCTGAGGAGACCGGCCTTGCATGGCAACGCAGTCTTAGCTCTGGGAAACAAGGCGTTTACGAGACACCGTGCTGACCCAATGTCTTTTGTCTGCAGGGTTCGGACACGCACCAAATGCTGAAGGATCGCAAACGGGTCTCATTGGAGTAAGTGCTCTTGGTCTCCGTTTACTGTCGGTTTTTTCTTGTTGAATATGCGGGAGTCCGACGGGATGTGCTACGGGGATGATTTCAAAAATTGAACTCTCTCTTTCTGATGGATTAGTGGAGAAAACTTAAAAACTCTGAGTAGCACCATCCGTAGCAAATGTTTGGGCTTTTAGCCCTGTGTTGTTAAGGCACTAACGTGGGACAGTTAAACTACGAGATATAAAAGTAAGAAAGAATATTGTTTTTTTTCCTCCCAGATGTGGTTTAATTCAAAGGAGCTTACAGATTGGAAGGATGAGACAAGACTTATCCCTGTGTGGATCAAGTGTTCTCATGCTGCAGGTGGGTACACGATGCTTTATGCAGTTGAGGGAGTAGAAGCACAGTATCGGGATGGGACTTGCTGGTTGAAATCGCTCGGGCCACTCAGTGATGAATGTAAAATGACAAGCATATGCCTGAACTCAAAAGTGATGTCATCTTACTACTGAGAAGTGGGCCCGAAATGCTCCAGGGTCTTTTAATGGCGGTTCTCAAGTACTAAAAATAATGCCTCGTTTTTCTATCTCCAGCATCTCTTCATCAGTCCTGAGGAATTCAACTGCCTCCCAGGGTGAATACAGGTAAGTTTTCAAATGGGAGGTTTGGTTGTGGTCTCTGTTCAACAACCAGGAGAGCAAATGGTCAGTGGAGCAGTGTTGTGTTTTTGCTCCTTCCAGCTTGTTCCTCTTGGAATGATTTCCCTGGGGAGGGAGTCAGCACCCCAGCAAGCAGCATGGTTCCTTCTTATGAGGTTGTGCTCTTCCCTCGCCCACACATCACTGTCAGATGATTTGAATTGATAATGCTGATCCTCTGTGAGGTACCACAGTTAATAGCATGTTAGAGTTCTGATGGCAGTTTCTGTTAATGAAGAAATTTATTTCATCCTGGTATTTTGGAGTAACAGTTTTCTCCCCTTTTGTAGGTTATCACAGCGTTAATAGAGTCATCTGTCTTACAGTAAGTTTTCTCAGTATTGTGGGAAATAGGGGGGTTCTTTTGTTTCTGATAGTGCTGTTTCTTGATCTCTTATTTTATCTATATTTATTGGTTTCCTAGATGCCTCTTGATCTGCTCAGGGTGACTCCTGCAAAGAGTCAAGAGGTGAGTACCTGTAACTTTGCTTGTTTTTGCTTATCTCCAGTGCCAATGAGGAAAGCAGGCATCCTGTCTTACCCCTGTTCTAGCCCCAGAGCCAGTAATGGTGAACCCACTGGGGCTAACTGGGAGAAAGGATGAAATTTCATTCCATAGGAATTGTCTGAGGTACAGCAAATGAACAGCATTTGCTTGGCTTGGGTTATCCATTAACCCTAGTTAGAATAGTTTTGGTTGCTTTAGATATTTTGCTAATTACATGATCTTCTCATTCAGGAGCAGCTTGTTGCTATAGACTCCTAGAAAGCCTCCAGAGTTAAAAGGTTAGTTGATTAATGTGTGTATGGCATACGCCACCAAGTAGGCAGTTTCTGTGATGAATCAAACTAGCTCACTATGACTTAAACAATGAAAAGACATGAACACCTGAGAAACTGGAAAGGATAACTGGGGTACTGTGTGTGTAGGGAACTTGTATCACTCCTAGCTTTGTCCTTCCGTAGGTACTGTTGCCAGTTACCGTTGCTCAGAGGTGAGTGATCTCCATATGTGTTTGTGCACACAATGTATTGAGTGGGAGAAAATGCCCTTTTAGGCATCTGTGATGACTTACATGGAATCTCGTTCGGCTGATGATTTGCTGTTGAGACTCGGAAATCTGATTTTCTAGGAATGGTAGCTTAGACAGGGACAGCTTATAATGCAAGAAGCAAATCACTGACTTAGTTGTCTTTGTGTTTTAGGTACAGCTCCTTGTCTAGTGCCTGAGAATACATTTAGGTAAGTCTGTTATCTATGGCTGCTGTATAGAATTCACCAGTTTTTGTTTGATGCTTTGGATAACTGCAGACATTACTTGCTAAATCCAAAGCTTGTCTTTGGCCATTAGTGAACCACCCATGACATTGCCACTCACCAGTGATGAGTTCAATACCGCCCCAGTCTGATCACTATGACTGAAAGGTATTTCTGAGCTGTGAGTTTCCCTTGGAGTAAAAAGTGACTAATAGGAAGTTAAGTGGCCTTGTGGCCAACAGGAAGCATTTTGGACTAGCTGGTAATTTATGTAAAATGTCCAGTGAAACCTACATAGCTTTTATAGATGGACCTGTCCTGGAAGACAGTTGACTTAGTTCCCAAACAATCTTTTGCAGGGGAAAGGAGTAAGCCGTATATCTGCTCAGCTCCAGTCTGAAGTTGAGAGGTGAGTAAACTTAAACACAAGGTGTGTCAAGTTAAAATTTCCCAGTGAAGAAACATTCACAAGTCTTACTTCCTGTCCTAGTCCCAGAGCCTGTAAAGGTGAACCCACTGGGGCTGGCTGGGGGAGAAGAGGGAAGCTTGTTCCAGAGGGAACTGTCTGAGGGATCATGAGAATTTCTAAACAAGAAAAAGAGGAGAATAAATGACTAGTTTATTTATCTGAAAAGCAGATTTTTTTTTCTCCCCCCACCCAGGTCTAAAGAAAGAAAGTACACATAATGGTGAGTGTTCATGTACTTGTGATACATACACTAACCATGTTCAAAGGGTGACTCTTAAGCCCATCAAGTCTATACTTAAAAAAATCCAGTATGAAAAAACTCAATTTTCTCTCTCTCTACAGGAATCCAATGTGGAGGATACAAAACTGAAAAATCCTCCTACAGATTGCCTGTTGAAATTAGCATACAATCATTTCAGCCTTTCTAAATAAAAATTTTTTAAAACCTTCACTGATTCCTGTGTTTGAGTGGGTCTGACTGGACAGAAATAACCCCAGAAAGATTGTTAAATGACTTTCCCCATTTAGCTTGGCACTTTACTTCCTGGTGAAATTGTCTAACCCAGGGAAGTATCATTCAAGGAGCCTCCCTGGATCTTTACTTCCTGTCTGCATTTGGGTGAGGAGTTCTGCATGAAAGTATACTGAGTTTGAGTAACTCCTTTAACTGTTTAAAACCTTAAGATTTTGGATACTAGGAGACAGTGGCTCATCAGTTAAGAATAGAAAAATTGGCTGTCAACTTTTGGTATCTTGTTGCCCCCATCCTTCACATTAATCTCTAAAATGCTTTCTGTGGAGTTTTAACAGCCCTGGGCCTACAACCAGAACTTCAGAAAGGAACTGCATTAGTACTCTCTTGGGATATGTCATTTCAGTCCTGTACAACCCTTTGTGACCCAATAGGCTGTATCCCACCAGACTTCTCTGTCTACAGAATTCTGGCAAGAATAATGTACTGCTTGGTCAGTCATGTCCAACTCTGTGACCCCAAGGACCGCAGCACACCAGGCTTCCCTGTCCTGCATCTCCTAGACCTTACTCAAGCTCAGGTCTGATGCTGTCCAACCAGGTGGTCTCAGATAATGACCACTTTTATATTTCTCAATAGAAGGAGAAAATGGATGAACTAGAATGTTATCTCATTAAATTTTCATATGTTTAGAATATGGTTGTGTCAGGACTAGTAAAGTAAAAGGCAATATAGGGGCTTTTCTGGTCTTCTTTTGCATTTTTCATACTGTTCATGGGGTTCCCAAGGCAAGAATACTAAAGTGGTTTGCCATTCCCTTCATCCTTGGTCTGCAAGGAAGTCATACCAGCCAATCCTAAAAATCTGTCCTGAATTCATTAGAAGGACTGTTGAAGCTGAAGCTCCAATGCTTTGGTCACCTGATATGAAGAGCTGACTCATTGGGAGAGACCCTGATGCTGGGAAATTGAAGAAGGAGATGACAGGATGAGATGGATGGCATCACTGACTCAATGGACATGAGTTTGAGCAAGCTCTGGGAGTTGGTGATGGACAGGGAAGCCTGGCATGCTGCAGTACATGGGGTTGCAAAGAATGGGACAACTGAGTGACTAAAGTGAACTGGTAGTCTAGTGGCTAAGATATATGTATACACACAATGGAATATTAGCCCAAAAAAATTGAGTCAGTTGTGAGGTGGAAGAACCTAATAGGCTTCTCTGTTGGCTGAGATGGTAAAGAGTCCGCCTGCAATGCAGGAGACTCGGGTTCGATCCCTGGGTTGGGGAAATACACGGGGGAAGGGAATGGCAACCCACTCCAGTATTCTT